TTTCTCAGTGCTCCTCTACAAAGAAATTTCCCCGCAAGGAGAAGACTAGCCCAGCAATGAATGAATCGGGCCAGCTATTTATGTATTTATGTATTTTGTTTCTGTTGTGAGCCGCTCCAAGGCTTCGCTGCGATGGGGGTGGCATAGAAATGTTTTAAATAAATAAATAAATAAATTCCCATGACCCTGATGTGTTATGTTTCTGCTTGCAGAGAGGCAGGTGGGCAGTCTGCTGGCTGGCTCCCCCCTCCCCTCCCCTCCCATGGGGTGCATAGAAAACTTACCCTGCCACCTTCGGCCTTCAGCCTGAATTGGTACAGCTCTATTCACCTTTCCAGACTGTGCTCCTTCATTCTTCCGCATGCATTGATTGACCAAGTCTGCTATAAAAGAAAACCTTCAGAAAGGTCGCACTGGTCTCCATTCGTTGCATCTGATTTGGAGAATTCTGAGAATTTCTTTCACATTTCCAAAGAGTCACTGCGCATTCATTCCTGCTTGGCAAGCAGAGCTGGCCCTTGTTCTCACCAACCAGCTCCGTATCCCGTCCGGCACCTCTGCCAAGGTTAAATATAAAGGCAGAATGTTGGCTCCGGGCAGCTGAAGGTTTGAGTACCCAGAGACAGCAGGAGTCCCAACCCGCTGCTGAGAACCAATAATAGATTGAGCATCCGTGGACCTGCAAGAAAGAAACATGTGCTTTTCAGAGAAAACTTTAAAGCAGCTTGAGGCTGCGTGTTACTTCTACACCTTGCATTAGTGCTGGGGACATATGGATTTCGGTAAATCCGTTTGCTCTGCATTTCAGAGTGCCTGGCACTGTTCCTTCCATCATTCATGCAGTGACAGAACTGAATTTTTTAAATTATGCAAACCTTCTGAAAATGTGCAAACTTCCCAAAAATGTTCAAATCAGCCCCAAATGCACATTTTCACAGTTTGGCCTGTGCAGGGCGGCAGCGGGGGCGGGGGGATAATTTCTTTATATTTTTCTAAGGCTAACTTAGCATTAAACTCTGGAAAGCCACAAAACTGCTCTGTGGGTGCATGAAATTCACATGACGCAGGATACGTGGTGTGTTGTGGATCCGTTTCGAGGAAACCAAACCAGAGTTGAATCCATTGCAGATTTCTTCTGAATTAGCTGAGGGATGTTGTTTTTGGAGACAGGGCTAAAGGCAAATGGGGGTTGAAATACTAATAAACCCAGGATAGGTAGATTGCATCTCTCACTGCCTTTTGGGGTTTTGATGGGGAATTGTCCCCAGACCAGGAAACCTCTAAATGATCCCCGGCTGGGGAAATGGGTCAGGGGCCCTCTAGAAACCTTGTGGCAATATTAGCCATGCAATATTATGGATTTACGCCTCAAGAGCAATGGTGGAGACCTTAATGTGAGAACGATTAATATGGGAAGACATGCATTTCCTGCTCCCAGCCTGTATCCTCCTCTTCCTTGCAGGACCTCCTAGTTCATGGCAAGGCATGGAGCCCTAAAGTTGGGCCAGCAAGCCGCGGCAGTGCAAAGCAAAGTTTGCCTCCGGTGCAGAACAAGTCATTCATTTTGGCTGACGTTCGTTTTGGGACCGGATGCATGGCTGGTGGAAAAACTGGAGGCGATAGGTAGAGGACCGCATTGGCAGCCCTCAGTGCGCACCCCTCCCCACCTGGAATCCCGTGTCCTGGGTGAAGGTGTACTTGCTTTCCTCTGTCCCAAATTTCACACCATTCAGAGCCACGCATTACCACCCGCTCTCCCCATTGAGTGCTTTTTTCAATATACATCCACAGTGTCTTCTCCCCACCCTGCTCGTCTTTAGCTTCACTGTCCAGAACGTTGTCACCTGTCCCGTGCGGGATAAGCGTCAGCCTCTCCCCATGTAATCCATTCATGATTACATTTTGATTCTGCCTTTTTGCCTCTTGCAAGGAACTCAAGGCAGCTTCTACAGTCCTCCCTTTCTCTATTTTATCTTCACAACAAGTCAGATGGTCAGTGCAGCACAGGGCCACAAGGATGGTGGTTGGATTGCAGGTGAGACTGGGGGAGCTGGGGCTCTTCAGCCTGGAGAAGAGGAGACTCCGAGGGGATCCGTTGGCAGCATACAGGCATGTGAGGGGATGTCACACGGAGGTGGGGAGAGACCTGTTCTCCCCGGCAGAGGAAGGCAGGACGCGCTCCAACGGAGCAAAGCTCAGGGAACCAAGGTTCAGTTCGGATGCCAGGAAGCACTTCCTGAGAGTCAGGACCCCGAGGGTGTGGAATGGGCTTCCCCGGGAGGTGGTGGTGGCCCCATTGGTGCGGGTGTTCAGGGATAGGCTGGACATGGACATGGTGGGCATGTCATGAGCGGAGCCGGCTGGAGCTGAAGGTCCCTTACTCTCTTTTTTTCTAAGCTGAACAGTCCCAGTTGTAGTGGCTTCTCACAGGGGAGCATCTCCAGCCCCCGATCATCCTTGCTGCCCTTTTCTGTACTTTTCTCAGCCTGATGCCTCTTCCAGCTAAGATGACCAGAGTGCGATCGCAACAGAGATTCGTACAAGGGAAGGAAGATTTTGGCCATTCTGTTTTCTATTCCATATTTTAGAGAATATGTATGCTTGGTTGTATAAGTATGTCGTGAGCGGAGCCGGCTGGAGCCGGGGGTCAGACTAGTTGGCCCGGGAGGCCCCTTCTGACACGCTCAGTTTCTAGGTTTCTGTGTAACAACCCTGTGGGGTAGGTTAGGCTGGCCTGACCCAAAGGATCCTAGTGAGTGACTCGGCCAAAGGTGGTGTAGGACCCCGATCTCCTGGGTCTCAGCCCAGCCCTCTAACCGCAGGGCCTTCTGCTGTGTGTCTTTCTATCTTGGTGCCAAGAAAATGCATGTTCGTATTTGTGCAGAGTGTGATCAAGCAGAAAGGTTGTGCATGTTCATTCTGAGGGCTGCAGAGAAGCTGCCCCCTTGAAAGAAGGGCATCGGGGAAGACTTACTGCCTTCACACTGTGCTCTGGAGCGCCTGGTCACATAGGCTGCCCACTGTTGGAAACAGTGTACTTGGCTGCATGGGCAATGGGTCTCTTCCAGCAGAACTCTTCTTGTATTTCCTTGGCAAGGAAAGACGTGCTAAATTCAAGTGGCTAAAACAGAGTTGAGAACATGAAATCCTTCGTAAATGTCTCTGATTCCTTCCAGAATCATCCAGTACCTTAGAGACCTAAACACTGAAAGCCCGCATTGGGCCAGCTAAAATGATGCAAGCTTGAATTTCCTCATCTTCTTTCATCAAGAATGAATGAAAATGAATAATTGGCCTAGAGGCAAATGCGCATGAAAAAAGTGGGTCCAATCAGAAAACGATTGTGTGCTCATTAAAAAATAAAAAACAATACATGGTATAACAGCCTCATTTTGCTATATTTTCCCCAGTATGGCTATTATTTTCTTCCCTGTCATCCTGTTTCTTTCTTCTCAACACCCAGTGGAATTTTTTTAACGAGTTTAATTCATTGGGTTGGAACTGGATGTGTGTTCTTGCCATAGGTTTCTGGCCTCCATCCTTTCTGAAGAGGTTTGCTTTCATTCCACAACCCCCGTGTCATAGAACAAGGCCCAATTATTGAGTGTTCATTGAGAAGAGCAGTTTTGATTCTGGGAACCGTACTTTGAATAAGGATTCTGATGAAGAGATTCCAGCTATTTCCCTCTTGGATGAAGCACACTGGCCTTGGCTCCTTCGGGCTTCCTTTTAATTAATTAATTTATTTTTGAGGTAATGACAGCAGGGAGAAGTCCATTGCTGTTGAATCGCAATTGCCAACCCTCTCCAGTTCCGTCATTCGACTGCCCACTCAAATTACTCATTTTGATAGTCTCTTACTTTCAGAAGTCCTCTGGGGACACAATTAGAAGGAGATCTTCACAGGAATTGGTGTCGGGGCCAAGACAGAAACCTTTCAAAGCCAAGGGCAGGATAGTTTTAATTTAATTACTGAACCAATTAAAACTTTCTCCTTGGGCGGGTTTCAGCAGTGTTCCTTGCTTAGATCAGAGCCAAACGAGTATCGAGAAAAGTTTCAACATCCCCTTCTATTTGGAGCCTACAGAAAAAGCATCTCCAGCAGGTTTTGCAGGGGGTCCAATTCTCATATCTGTATCGGTTCTCCAGAAATGTGGGAGGAGAACACAGAGGATCAGTCCTGACAGAAATGGTCGTGCTTGCGATTGGCATACAGCGTGGAACACAACAAGACTCTGCTGCTGATGGGAAGCTTCAATCTGCAGAATGAGCGAGACGCGAGAACATAAACGTTCCCCTGAACCAGAGCAAAGGTCCGTCTGGGCCAGCACTCTGTGCTCGTGGTGGCCCACCAGCTGCCGATGGGACAACCACGAGGAGGGAACGGGGCAACAGCGGAAGGCTTGCAGAAGGCCAAATGCTCAGCACAATTGGAATGGAGGCGTTGGTGGCTCACACTTGGAAAGAACCGTCTTTGCATTCTTGAGCCGTGCAGTGCCCGATAGCCTTGAGGGGTCTGTTCTGTAGTCCCCCAGTCATGTCTCAGAGAGCCAGTGTGGTGCAGTGGTTAAGAGCATGGGACTGGGACTCAGAGGATCTGGGTTCTAGTCCCCGCTCAGCCATGGGGCCCACTGGGTGACTCTGGGCCAGTCACAGACTCTCAGCCCAACCTACCTCACAGGGTTGTTGTTGTGGGGATAAGATGGAGGAGGAGAATGATGTAAGCTGCCTTGAGCCCTTTGGAGGAAAAAGGCAGGATCTAAATTGAAAAAATTGAAAAATTGGTTTCAGATTACCTGCTGCTCCTCAGATTCTTAATCCAGGAGTGTTGAACCCCTTCCAGCCCAAGGGTTGGAATCCATCTCAGAGAAGCTCTGCGGGGAATGCATACCAAGGGTAGCCAAGGACAAACGTAAAAAGTGGCTTAGCCAAAATATCAGCATATTTTAGCCAAAAGTTCTTGGTGCCAGCTCGTAAGGAGTGGAAACAACTGAAGAAGCATGGAGATGGGGAATGCTGAGGACTGGAACCATGAGGAGTTGGTGCAGTTACTGGAGAACCTCAGAAGGTCAGATTGAGGTCCAAGATGAGGCAGAAGTTCAGCATCCCAGGTATCAGACCTTATTCCCTGTGCAGTTTTGCCTTGGGCTGAAAGGTTTGATGCCCTGGACTTAAAGCCTGGCTCCTGGGTAGGGAGTCTATTCACAACTTCCTCTCTGTTATTCTGTTATGGCTCAAGAAGAAGCAAAACTGGAGGCAAACTGTCGTTTCCACCTGACCTCCTGGAAATAAATCTTCCTCGTCAAAACATCTGAGCCACGAAGGATGCCGCTGTCCCAGCCTCTTCTCAGGGGCTCATCTCCAGCACCCCTCAGTCCTCCAGCCCATCCGGCAGCCATGTTGTTCCATGCACCAGTTGCGTGAAATGGAATTTTCCCGAAAATTGGCTCTTGAATAGGGCTCTAATCCCCCTTTGTGCTTGCAAGTTGCAGGGACTATGTGGAAATTATAACAATTTTCTCTGCAATCAAGACGCTGAACAAAAGCGCAATCAAATACTCTTTGTGACAGAAAAACGACCCAGATAGCTGCCATTGTGGGGTGAGCAGATGGTAGGTGCTAGTTATACCAAAGATTCTTTAGAGGAGCCACTCCAGGGTTTGTTGTTGTTTTTTAAACACAATGGATCTGTGGTGTTGCATCATGGGAAGGCCGTGCTAAGCCCAGTTTATGGATGGGCTGAGAACTGTTTTGGAACTTCTTGGTACTTGGGTATGTCCGTGCCTGTTGGAGAGGATAACTCACTGGTTGTGAGAAATGGAACTCATTAATTTGAGTGACTTGAATCCAGAATTTTCCAGGAAAGCTGCTTTTCGCCAGGGGCCTGCCTTCCTTTCCTCTCGTTCACACACTGGTGCCCACCTGGTTGCCTCTGATACGGATGGGGAGAAATACACTCAGCTCACGCAAAATATATTATATTGTCTTGTAGTCATATCCCACTTTTTCTTGCAAGAAGCCTGCAAGGTGCCTTCCACAACCTTCCCCCTCCTCTCCGTTTTATCCCCACAACAGCCTTGTGAGGCAGGCCAGGCTGAAAGTTAGTGGTTGGGCCAAAGTCACCCAGTGAATTGCATGGCTACGTGGGGATGAGAACCTTAAGTTTCGGTGTCCCAGTCCAGAACATTTTGGGTGTTAATGCATGCAATTCAGCTGATTTTATGCAGAGTTCATTAATATTTCATTTTCCCCCATCCATTTTTCCTCTGCCCATCTTGGAAATGGGAGGTTGTAAGCTGGCTTGTGATCTGTCACCAACTCCAAGCTGGCAGACACATGGAAATCCTTTGGATGTTTGTCTCTTTCCTGGGATCTTTGCACACCCCACCCAGAGACCTGCTGTTACACCAGCTCCCTACAAGGCGGTCTCAGCTTCTGCAAGGACCGCTGGCTGGGTCTGAATCTACTGTCCTGATGCTTCTAGAGAGGCCTAAGGGCTGCATTGCAGGAGTTTCTCAGAGACTGAGGACTCCGGGAACCACTTCCAGTCAACCAGAAGGCCCCGGAGGAGATGGGGGCTCACTGGTTGAAGCCCCTTCCCCTTTTCCCCCTCCAAGGCTCAGCAGGGCATCCAGGTCAGATGAGGACTGGACACAGGCTCTCCCCATGCAACACGCAACACTGGCCGTGCAGACTGCTCTTGCTAGGCCTTTACCCCAGCCCTGCTGACGGTGCTAAACACGGGTCTGTTGCTAGGCAATTAGCTTTTGGGCTTCTCTACAGCAGATAAAGCTGCCATATGGCCTTCAATCCTGCCTAGTTAATTTTACAGCCTCAGCCTGAATTCCCCCCTGTAGCAAGAGGCTTTCTTGTCTTTCCCAGCCTCTTTTATCACGTTAGCAGACAGGTTGCTTTTTAAGCACGCGATCCCATGGGAAGCAACAGACCTCTGGGTGCTTTGGCATGCGATGTTGTTTTCTCCTTTTGATCAGTTCGTTTCCGGTCGTCACTGTTTCTTCTGATCCGAACTTCGCATCTCCCACCAGCACCTACAAGAAATTTGGCCGCTTCCAAGTCTTCCCAGGAGATGGTAAAGAGATGGATTTTGAGCACGGAGTTGACTTTCGTCTTCATTCCATCTGCTTTTTCCTGTCCTGCATTTTGCTGGTGCTCTCTTCTGAGGAAATAGAAACCGATTAATCTTAATTGAATGTAGAAAGCTCTAGTCATCCTTGAGGCAAGAGAAGTGAAATCAGAAGGCTGTGACCCAAAGAAACTCACACTTCTGGGATCACTTTGCACCACACGGGGCTGACGGCTGACATCCTCCGAATGCCGAGGGGAGAACATTCGCTCCGCTTGAGTGGTGTGCTGGGGACATGAAGAATGAATCGAGGACTGGGCTTTCTGGAAGCTGCCAAATTATGATAATTTGATAAATTTATTGAGAAGCTTTCCTGTAGAATTACTTTCAGAGTGACGCACAGAGTAAAATAGAAAGAATAATGCGGCAAAAAAGCAGTGTAACTTGAGCCGGTTTGAAATGAATGAGCAGGAAAACTAAAATTGGGCAGCATAATCAGATTCGATAAATATCAGGGCCAAACCGGGTTAGCAGGTGGCGGGACAGAGAAAATGGAAGCCCCCACCTCTCATTTTGGGGATGTACAAATCTGTCAAATCAATTTTCTCTCTGTTTCTCATTTTTACAGTCTAAAGTTTGCCTTGATCTTTGAGAATTCCCCCAGTTTGTTTCTCTTGAGTTCAGTTTGTTCCAAACCCTGGGCTTATTTTTTAAGTTGGTACAAGCATCCCCATGCATTCCAAAACATGTTTCAAATGCATACACTGGGGCTAGTTGGAAGACTGGGCCAAAAGTTACTCAGCTGGTTTTACATCCACAGCAATCATGGTTGTGTCAGCTGGGAATGATGGATATTATAGTGCAGCACAGCTGGGGTCACCAGCTCAGCCAAGCCTACGCTGGCTATGTTGTTGTCTTAACCAGAATCTACTTTCCCTTTTTGTTTGTTTGTTTTAATGAAGAAGTATTTATCCCAAATTTGTATACCCTCTGACTCTCCCATTGAAGTATAATCATGTTTTGCAAGCACTATTCCAATATAAAGCATTTTTAACATGATTTCCCCTAAAGTACGCCATTTGGTATGCATTCATGAGAATGCCATTGTAAAATTCAGAGAAGTGTGCATTTTGAAGAATAACTGTGCTTTGCTTCATCTCATATTTCAAGAACAGTGGATAAATTTGCATTAACATGGAAATAGGGCAACTCTCAAGCTCTGAGACAGTCCAAGCTTCAAATTGCAAAAGATGAGATGTTGGGAAAAATGAGAAACTGAGCAAAACGGAACTATTTATCCATCCCTAATGAAGACTGTTTGTGGCCATGGAAAATGAATGACTGTTAGTGGCAGCACTGGAAAACTTAGTGAAAGGTTCTTAGAAGGAAGTATAACTGAGGGAGACATGGAAGATGGAATGGGACACCCCACACCCGGGGGAGGCAACCTTAAACACTCAAAGAGCCATTTGGACCCGTTTCCCACAGAAAACACCGGGAGCCACAAAACCCTTTTGACATCTAAAATGAAGATAACACTGCATGTATCATTTTTTACCTTTATGCTATGTATAAAAAAACTACAGTGTGTTGCATTTATGAAACCAATGAACTGCTACAGAGAAAACAAATTTTTATTTCTGCATGCAACAAAAACATTTTGAACTCCGAAAAAATAAGACGCTGGGTTGAAGGTCACTTTCAAATAAAATACTCAATGTCTATTTGAGTCCTCCTCGTATTTATGAAATAAAAAGCTGAACTTAAATTATGATTTTTGCTCAGATCAACCTTCCGCATCAGTTCCAAAATGGCTTTTTTTCTCTCATCTCCATCCGGATATTTTTCAGCAGAGGCTGTGTGTTTGCTCTGGAAATGCCCTGCAACATTCCACTTTTGCAGTGAAAGCAAATGAATCTGCCCACGTACCATTAAACGTTCTGTTTTCTTCTGAAACTTTTCTTTTCTTGGATTTATCCATGGCTGGCCTACCGGGGGTCGAAAAGCTCAATAAATTGCGCACCGGTGGGTGTCGCACATTGGCGGTTGTGACTCATATTTTGAGTGACAGGGAGCCGCAGCAGAGGAATGAAAGAGCCACAAGCGGCTCTGGAGCCGCGGGTTGCTGGCCCTGCCCTACACTGTTAAGTTAGTTTTATCCAGTGCTTTTTTTGTACAAAAAAAACAAGCTGCCGGAACTCACGTCTTGGGGTCACACTTTTACACAATGGTCGCCGCCGGCAGTAAGCGCTCAGCGCATGACCACACGACTGATCCCAAGCCGAGCAGCGTCCGAAGCCGAGCAGCGCCCTCACAATCAGCGCCGACACACAAGCAGCCCGCAGGCACGATGTTAATGATTTTTGCTGCCGCCCTGCTACACCCAACAGGGTGATTCACAATCCCTTGGAAAAATCTGTCGAAAATGGGTGCCGGAACGTCGTTCCGGTGCGTTCTATGACAAAAAAAGCCCTGGTTTTATCCCACCTTCCCCCAGGTGGATGGTTCGAATTCCATCAGATCATAGCCCTGAGAGCTTTCCCTGGGACTTCAGGATGGAGAAAGGAAGAAGCGGAATGCTATTAGTACCAAAAGCCAGTGTGGTGTAGTGGTGAGAGCATTGGACTGAGACATGGGAAATCCGGGTTCTAGTCCCCATTCGGCCATGAAGCTCATTGGGTGACTTTGGTCCAATCACTGACTCTCCTCCTGGACAACCCTCTGAGTGGGAGGGTGTGACTTGGAGGCCTGCAACAGCAGAGGGTTGGACTGGATGGCCTTCATGGCCCCTTCCAACTCTTCTATTTTATGATTCTCTCATGTGAGAGGAGAAGGTAAGGCACCAGGGTCCTTGCCATCTTTGCGGGACTTCCAAAACTAGTCCCAGGAGAGGCGGAAGCCACCTCTCTGGTTTGAACCTGGAGGTCCTTTCCAAGTCAAGCCCATGCCACACAAAACATACTGCTAGGCACCTTTATTATCTTGTATCTTAAGATAATTAAAGGATAATAACAAAGAACAGTGTGAAATGTGACGGTCTTTATACACCTTTGGACTGCCTTCCTTACCCTGCTTGTTCAGCAGTTTAATTACAGATGCGTCTCACTTCTTCTGCTTATTTTGGGTGGCAAAGGATATTTACCTTCTTGTTTGGGAGCACGAGGAATATTAGACAAGCTCGCTTTGGAAAACAAGGGAATTGACATTTCTTGAGACTCATGTCAACAAGCACCTTCGAAATGCTTTCCTTATCTATGGGTCACAGTGACAGTGTGCATTCTTTAACATTTTCCTTGTCGAAACTCAAATCTTCTTGTTAACCTTTTCTTTGACGCCATAAAAAGGCAAGATAGAAACATCGTAAATAAGGGGTTTTCTCTTCGAGGGTTGTGCAACGTGTCACTGGCCCTACGGGTGAGAAGGAAGGCAGACAAGGAGGACTTTAGTGTCCTCTCTTGAGATTTCTTGAAAACTCTGCTGCCACGACAGATGTCATCAAAAGTTCAGCTTTCAGCTTTTTATTCAGGACTTTGAGGTTGGGCAAGAGCCGAGAATTTTTCCTTGACATTTTCTCTCTGCAGCAGGTAAGGGGTCAGTCGTGTCGTCTCTTTTCTGTCATCTCCCAGTGCTGCCATCTAACCCCTTCCTCACCATGTGGATTTCTACTTGCTATAGCAGGGAAAGAAGGTGTGTGTATGGTGGAGGGTTATAGCTAATGGAGCAGGATAAAAATCCAATGAATAAATGAATAAGGCAGCACCAGAGATGGGAAGAGCCAGAAGGGATGTGGCTTGTCCTGTTTCTTGCTGCACTCAGAGACTGAAAGGCTCTTATCTCTGGGTCCTGAGATGGAAATCTTGAGGACTAGAAACTTGGAATTCTTGGGACATCAGATTCCATTCCTCCATGTTGCAATTGTGCAGTCGTGGAATAACTGCTGTCTTCAGCGTAACACTATCACTCAGGTAGAATTCGACATAAGAGGGTTTTGTGTTCGGGCTTCCTCCTTGACAGTGAAACTAGTGTGTTTATACCGGCTTTTGTCTTGCTTTGCAGGCTGCCACATTCCATTCAGACTGTTTCATCAGGAAGGAGCAAGAAGCTTGCTTGGAGAGCATCCAGAAGTTGACCAGCTTAATTCCAATAAATGAATCTTCTCCAGGTGCGTTGTAGGACATGCCCCAAACCCATGTTCTTTCCTTCCAGGAGAATGTGCTGAAATCCAGTAAGAAAAGTGTGCTGGGAAAAGAAAGAGATGTAACTGGAAGTAGGAAAGAGAAATCTAATCCACTGGAGTAATTTTTTATATTTCCCAAATCTCTCCAAGCTGTGCTACAAGGAGAAAAGAAATGGAGACTGGACTCCCTGCATTCAGAAATCCATACCCTTCCAGATTTGTGTGGCATTCTATGGAACTAAACTTGCTTCCAATAAAATGCACATACAAGTGTGCAGAAAAGAAGGCATATGTAGAAATATGTGCATGACAGGCATGTCATGAGTGGAGCCGGCTGGAGCTGGGGGTCAGACTAGATGGCCCAGGAGACCCCTTCTGACTCACTCTGTTTCTATGCTTCTACATAAATACACACGGAAGTGCTTATGGTCAATCCAGTGTAGAACAAGTACGCATTTTGGAGTGGCTGAATATTATCACTGTTCATGGGTAGCCCACAAGAAAGGATGCAGAAAACTCAAACAATCCACCTCTAGTAGCCAAGTTGTGATTAATTAAACTATTAAGTAGATAAATACACATCAGAGTGAGTTGGCGTCTTGTGCAAACCCACGTGGTTTCTTCAGGGTGGCTTATTTACTGTGAAGTAAATAAACCTGTGTTTCCAGGTTTTAATTGTAATTGTTTATTTATTTATTGCTGTGAGCCATCCCGAGGCTATGTAGCAAGGGGACGGCATATAAAAACTTTAAATAAATAAATAAGAAGCCGTCTTGGAACCCAAGGTTTGGTTCAAGGTTGTCCATAGCCATGGCGGTTTGTCATGTTTATTGTGGGTTACTGGGGATGGCTATAGAGGTGGCTGGCCAGAGTGGCAGAAACTGAGATAGGGATTGAAGAAAGGAGTTCTTCTGCAAAGGCGCATGGGATACATTCCAGAGCTAGCAGGAGGAATAAGGGGAGAAACCACGGTATGGCAAAGCAGATGATCTGTTGGGTGGGCAGGAAAACAACCAGCCTGTGGTGACTTGTTCACAGAGTGGTTTAGTGTGAGGTGTGAATCCTGCCACGGGTGGGGGCAAATGGATTCTGTTGTGTTGGCTGCATAGCCAGAAGTGTGGCTTCCAGATCGAGAAAGGTGTTACTGCCACTCTATACGACTCTGGTGCACCCGCAACTGGAGTGTTGTGCTCAGTTCTGGGCTCCACATTACAGGAAGGATATAGCCAGGTTGGAGTCAGTGCAGCGTAGGGCCACAAGGTTGGTGGCCGGTTTGCAGGGGATACCATATGAGGCGAGACTGAGGGAACTGGGTCTCTTCAGCCTGGAGAAGAGGAGACTCAGAGGGGATCTGTTGGTGACATACAGGTATGTGAGGGGGTGCCACATGGAGTTGGGTAGAGACCTGTTCTCCCCTGCAGAGGAAGGCAGGACGCGCTCCAACACAGCAAAGCTCAGGGAGCCAAGGTTCCATCTGGATGCCAGGAAGCACTTCCTGACAGTTGGGACCCCAAGGGTGTGGAATGGGCTTCCACGAGAGGTGGGTGAGGCCCCATCGGTGCGGGTGTTCAAGGATAGGCTGGACATGCACATGGCAGGCATGTCGTGAGCAGAGCCGGCTGGAGCCAGCGGTCAAACCAGATGGCCCGGGAGGCCCCTTCTGACTCGCTCTGTTCCTATGTTCCCAAAGTAAGTGTTATAAACTTTTGGGAGTACTAGGAGGCCAAATGAGAGCCAGGGTGGTGTGGTGGTTAAGAGCACAGTAGAGGGACTCGGGCAATTGAGGTCTGTGTCTCCGCTCAGCCATGGAGCCACCTGGGAGGCTTTGGACTAGTCAAAGACGCTTAGCTTAACCCCCTTCACAGGTTCGTTGTTGCGGGGATAAGATGGAAAGCAGGAGGAGAATGATGTAAGCTGCTTTGAGCTCAGTGTAAGAAAAAAGTGGGATATAAATCTAAAAATAAACAAGCTGTTTCTCAGAAAGAGGTTCCCTCAAACGATCTTGCTTATCCACACAGCGACTGAACTTTGCTTGCCCTTTCCAATGAAAATGATGGACAGGCATTCAGAGAAACTGGAGCACATCCAAAAGCACCCGATAAAAAGGAGAACTGCAGAGAGATGCTAATATCCTCTTCTGAACATACCTAAAATCGACTCCTCTGCCCCACATGGATTTATTCTATTGCAATCCATAGTTCGGGGTGATTCTTTCTTCCCAAGTTGCTCATGGCAATTAAAATTCAGTTCAGTTGTTTCTGTACAGAGATGAATATCTGAGCAAAACCCTGCCCAAATGTTTAGGCTTACAAAGAAGAAGGCAAAACCCCACATGCAAAGCAAGAGGGTTCCCAGGGAAAGGGGAAAGGAAGAGAGAAATGTGGACCTGCACAAGGCACAAAGCGTATTTGCTCAAAAATAAATCCCACCCATCAAACACTCTTGCATAAAGGCGCAGTCCTGTTAAAGCAGCCCAAAATATCATTTGCCTGTTTTTGAAGCCGCATCACAAAGTGTGTTTGTTACATGGCCGAGGCTCTCTGGGCAGTTAACAAAAGTTAAAATTAAATAAACTTTAAAAAGAAACAAACAGTGATTTAAAAGCATAAAAAACCTGAATAAAACCGTAACAGCAATTGCAATTACTATGATTCAGCAAAGCATGCTTGCAGTACAGAATAAAACGCAATGTATAAAAGCAAGGTTTAAAAGTTAAAAGTAGCAGAGAGCCATCAGGCCTGGAAGCCTCATCTCCCATGAATTATTATTTTTATTTATTTATTTATTTAAAGTTTTTATATGCCGTCCCCATTGCTAAACAGCCTGAATCAGCCCAGTCAATCCCCTTTTAAACTGGTAGCCACTGCTCTTTCTTATGGGACCAAATCCCATAGTTTAGCCATGTGTTGTACGAGGGCCTTCGGTTTCTCTCTCTTGAATCTTCCACCATTCGGCTTCATGGTGTGATCTTTTTGGTGTCTAGTATGATGCGAGAGGGAGAAAAATAACACACATAAATTTGAGCATCTCTATCAGGTCTCCCCTCACTTGCCCTTTTCCTTAGCTTCACAGCATCAGTGGTTGAGCATCCAGTCTCAAAGGGGTGTTTGATGCTCAACTCAAATCCCTTGATGATTTGAGTTGTCCTTTTCTACATTTGTTCCAACTCTACAATATCCTTCTTTGAGTGCATGGATAAGAGCTTCCAGCTGTGGTTGCTCCATAGATTCAGTTCAAATTCAAGTGAACTTTCATGTGTATTTTCCCAAGAGTACACATTAGTCCATCCTTGGAATATACCATTCTTCTCCCATTGAGTGAAGCACATTGGTGCATTTTCTCCAAATTTGTGCATTTTCAGGTGCATTTTTGAATGTATACATATTGTCAAAAACCTTTCTCAGGATTCTTCTGGGAGCTTGGAAATGTATGGATTTCCACCCCAGGTTTCATCTGTGTCCATGTTTTATTTATTATTTATTTATTTAAAACATTTCTATGCCACCCCCATCACAACAAAGCTTCGGGGTGGCTCACAACCAAAACAAAAACAAACAAAATCATATAAAAATTTATACACTAAAAATATTAAAACCCAGTGCATCTCAGCTTAATTTTTTTTTTAAATCCTCCATAATAAATTAACAGTTAAAATAAGTTTTAAATAAAAAGGTCTTCGCCTGGCACTGAAAAACAAATAACGACGGCGCCAGGCGGACCTCTCTGGGG